TTGAAACAATCACGTCAATCGGTATGATACGATAGCCTAATTTTATTGTCCACCGGTGTATTTTTACAAAATAAAAGTTGTTTACTCGTTACAAGCCGAAATAAACGGATATTATCTATTATCAAATAAAACTTTAAATCGTTTTAATGCGTATTAAATACTAGCTTTCGCTAGCGGCTTCGCCCGCGTGGACCCGAAGGAAGGAAATGTTTAGTGGGATAAAAAGTATCCTATTATCTAAGTCAGCTAATACCCTATCTGTATACCAAATTTCATCAAAATCCGTTCAGTAGTTCCGGCGTGATTGACGGACAAACATCCAAACATCTGAACATCCAAACAAAGAAAGTTTCACATTTATAATATTAATAGGATTATTTAATTTAGATGTTTCGGATAGTTGGATCACTACAGTTTCTTTGCTTATCGAGATATCACTTTCTCGTCGAGTTACTTCTCAGACAGTAGTCCGATCTAAGAACCGGTTGTTAGGTGTAGTTAGTTTGTTGTTAGGTATGGTAGTCTGGGGTATTAACAATCAATCAATTCAATAATTCAAATATTTTGTAATTATAGTTGCAGTAATGCAAATTTTTTAATTTTAATAAAATTTTATAATTATGAATGTGTCCAATAAATATTGTTTGAAGGTTTAATTATAAAAAGACAATCATTATCTTAGTCTAAGTGAAATTGGAACCCGTATATTGAATATATTTTCTATTTTATTTTATTTAAAGACTAGTGGACGCCCGCGACTTCGTCCGCGTGGAAGTCGGTATCCCGTGGGAGTGAGAAGTTTTCCCAGTAAAAAGTACCCTATGTGTTATTCTGATGTATAACCTATATTGCTGTAAAGTTTTATCCAAATCCGTCCAGTAGTTTTTTCGTGAAAGAGTAACAAACATCCATACATCCATACTTACAAACTTTCGCCTTTATAATATTTTATTTAAAGATATACGCGTTAAAACGGGTTAGATGATGTATTTATTGAGTAGCGCACGTGATTGACTTGTTTTTTTACAGGTATGTATTTGGTTAAGTTAAACATTCACTTTATTCAGTTTCTTCGTTATTGGCTCTTCTATGAATTATCGATCATCAAGTTTCAGATTGCAATAGCGTGTATTGTAACGGAAAGTGGCTTCATGATCTGATGAAGTCTATTTGAACTTCAAATTTGTATAAAACAATAGACACTTGCCAGTTTCATGCAGGTTCTGATCATTACGAGACGCTCCGCCGTATGTTTATTATTTTTTACTGCACTATTCAAATCTTAAAAAGTGTTTCAAATAGAGTGGTTCTGTAGATTACTTTGCGCATATAAAATTATGAACTCACTAAGCTCATAATGAGACTTAAAATATTTTGCCGTTTTGATTACAATTTAAATTAATTAAATATCTTTCTAATGATATCACTTATTTTGATACATTCATATTGCGCTGTCTATATGCCTACAAATTGCGGAAATTGAAAATTATTTTCTAATTAAAAGAAGGACTTCCCTATTTAATGTTCGAAAAAAGACAGTTACTATGCCTATGACTAAGCTACTATTATAATCCTTTAATAAATATGTTTTTTTTTTCTAAACGAGCTATTTAATTATTTTGCATCGTTAATGACTAGCTGATTACAAGCTTCTGGTTATTACACAGGCGTCAGATCCAGAACTACACGCAGAAGTTGGCCAAAGACACGTCCACCCTGCTCATGGAGCTGATGAAGCTGCCCACCGACCAGCCCGTGCACAAGCTGACGCGCGACCGGCTCAGCGACGAGTACATGGTCACACTCAACTTCTTCCAGGTGATTCTATTCTTCCAATAAAGTCTCATGATTACGTTATTATATTTCTAATTTCTTCTGTTTGTGTTGTTAATATAATTTACATATTTTCTTTTCTGCTTATCTTTGTTTCGCCTTATGCGTGTTTCTTTTTATTTATCATGCGAAGTACATCAGTTTTCCTTGTTTTTCAACTCGGTTTTTCACTAAAAGTTTTTTTTGTAATAAAATCTATATTGGATTCACCAAATATGTATTAATTAATTTTTCATTCTTTTTTCTTCCAACCGTCGCTGTACTTCTGTTTATCCTAGATTTAAACTTATTTATATGTGAGGCTACTTTTTAATGAGTGTTTTGTACGAATAATATAATTTCGTTGTACATATATATAACTATAAAATATCATAGTAGTGTAGAATAGAATATTATTAGAGAGTGGGGAAGATAAACATGCTCTATATTAGGCATTACGCAGACGTATTATTATTCCACCAGTACATATATTTTCCTGTTCAATAATCGTCGGTAGATACATTACAGATATACCTACTATATAGTATATATTTATTTATTCGTGTCATCAATCATAACGTATGGATTGTATTTAATGTGTGTTATTTTTAATTTGCATATATCGCCCCCCGCGAACTGTTGCTTGCCTTATCTTGATTATTATTATGAAATGGAAAGATTTGACTGTTTTTTAGTTTGTATTGTAGTGGATCCAAACCTACTACGGGAAGATACGCGGGTGATACATGCAAAATTGTGTTAAAGTAGCTTGTCTATATCTAAATAAATCCCATTTTTCCTTGGTCACGCCACCATATGTGAATGGCTAGACCGATTTAGCTAATTCTTTTTCTTGTGCTTGTTGTTGTTAAGAGAAGATTCTAATGAAAGAAAAAAATAAAAAAATTGAGTGGGAAATTTTAAAACTTAAGAATATTTAACCGCCATATTAAATATTTTTAATATAACCTTATGACGTTTGACGTAGAACTGACAGAGTGCGTGCTGCAAATATAGTCAAATAGGATGTAAAAAAAAGGTTCAAATTCAATATTCATAATTAAGAAAGGACAATATTTGTCGGGTCAGCTAGTAATTTATAAATATAGTCTTATGTTATTTCCAGCAACGCAACTTTATTTTGGTAGAAAAAAAAATATAACGGTCCACCAAAACATATTCATAATAATCTCTTTGCTGTTTACTAAAATTACTGTATAAATATGTCACCATTTGCTTGCCCATTTCCCAATCTGGGGGCACGGAAGTGCCCACGTCAAGTCGAGCACAAAAAGGGCTCGGCTGTACCATGTTTTTCTCGAAGCCATTCGGGTCATTTTTAATAATATATTTGTGGTCGCCGCAATATGTATTCTTCGTACGTCTCGATCAAACCCCATCTCAAAATACACATTTTCTCCGGTCTTCCGGCATAAATGTGGAAGGAAACGTATGGATACACTTCCTTCCACATTCATGCTCAAAGGGTTATCCTTTTTGTTATATGCAAATCATATCTTCCCATGACATGTCCATACTAATATGATGTGTTGCTTTATAATTAATCAGCATAGGTAACATTAATCAATGAATACACGTAGTATTTCAATAAAGGGGTGTAAGATTTTTTAGTTAATTCTATTATTAAACCAACATATTAAAATTTATTATCAATACTTTATTGATAATTGTGTTCCGAATAGCGACCTCGTGCGCCATACGTTGGTGTAGTTTTAATTAACAGTTCTCGTGTCATATTTTTAATGACTGACGATAATTTTTATATATATCCTTTTTTTTTTTGTAAATTTTATTTGTTGTGATAAACGCTAAACGTTGATAAAAGTTTGTGATAAACTAAAAGTATCACAGGGTAATAAATAGAATGAATCATCGACATTTTAGAAGTTAACTTATGAAGAATTCTTTGTTATCTTTTTAGTCCTACTCCTAATATAGCAGCTATATGACTAGGTAACTGATTACACATATTTTTTTTACCCCTCAAATAAACCGTTGCAGTAAATGTCCGAACGACCTTTACCCGCTTGCAACGGAAGGAGGGCTATGTTTATAGTATATTTATGTATGATTACTTGTAGCGGCTTCGCCAGCGTAGTTTACACGATAACTTGATGACTTGACTTGAAAAAATAGATCTTAAAAATTAGCTGTTGCTGTTCATAGAAATTTGAAAAGACCAAAAGGTGAGATTATCGCTGTCTTCTTCTATATCCTCTTCATCGGTTTGAATCTAATGAATGATAGCATTTAAAAATATTAGTAATAGTTATTTACACATATAATTTGTTGTTTGGTACAGGCGACGCAGCGGACAGCAGCACAGAAGACCAAAGAGGATGTACGTAAAGTGAAGGCGCAGACCGTGCAGGTCGGCGACCCGTTCAACATGGGTCTGTATAATTCATACATATACATACAGACACTCACAAATACTTTATATGATGATCACCGAAAAATGTATCGATCTCATAATAAGTAAAAAATTATGAAATTTGTTGGAAATGGTAACTTATGCAAACAATATCTATGTAATATTTGTTGATTTAATGTAAATAATGTTAGGATATTTTATTTTAGCAAAATAAACTTGCTATTTATAGTGTGTGGATTTCAAGAACCGAAACGTCAGCGGCCATGACGAAGCATCGTCTGACGTCACGTGTCACATTTAAATTAAACGTCAACGTCATTGTTGCGTATGCGACTAGTACTCATGTTTATTGAAATATGACGTCACGGAGTGTCATGTGACTGATTGTTTTCGCGGGACAATTAAGTAAATTAATAAAAAAATGGTTGATTCATTATTTAATAAAACTTTTTAGAGTTAAATAAATCTGATACTGGTTTAATGTGATCATATATAAATTTTTAAAATACTCATTTAAAAATAGTCAAGAAGCCAATTTATAAAACGGCAAATTTGGTATATAATCGTGATATGCAGGTGGCAACAGTCAGTTGGTAGATACCGGCGAGTTACGCAAGCAGGAACAGATGACGGCCCAGACCGAGCGCGACCTGCTGGAGCTTGAGGAGCGCGAGCGGGACATCAGGCAGTTGGAGGCAAGTCTTGTCTACGCCTACTGATATTATAAATGCGAAAAAACTATTTTGTAAATGACACGATTCATCGAAAATCGATCTTCATATGCTCATTTGTCGAGACCCATTTCAACCACGTGCTTATTGGTAATTAGATGTCATTCTGTGCTGTCATTTTGAACGATGACGTCATTGTTTAATCAGATCCTGTATAAATAAAAAAAATGTTTTTCTGATGTTGTTAACAGTCTCGTGACTTAAATTAGACTTAAATAGTCTTTATAGTCAACTCGCGGATTGGTTGAACACTTTTATTTTTGTTTCGCACAGCACGATATAACGGACGTGAACCAGATATTCAAGGAGCTCGGGCAGATGATCCACGACCAGGGTACGGTGGTGGAGTCCATAGAGGCCAGTGTGGAGCACACCGCCTCTAACGTAGAGAGCGCTACCATGGAGTTACGGCAAGCGGCCACATACAAGGTGAACGAATGAAAACATTAATGTATGAACATTACAGCCATTGCAGACTTCCATGCGAACGGAATCGAAAAATGTCAGTTTCCGTGAAAAAAAAAAATTACAATCTCTGTGGTCGTAAGTAAGTCGTGCCGGTTACAATGTATCTTATGTGGGATATATTATGTTTCTTAAGTTTCTAATAAGAGCATTAATTGTCCCTATACAGAATAAACTCAGGAAGAAAAAGGTGTACATAGCGATAATATTGGCCATCATCATCTGCATCATCCTGATCATCGTGTTCAACCACTGATGAAGACCTCTCATCATCATCACCAGCAACGCGACCCCACGGTATTAATGTGTATATAAGAAGTTATCGCTTAACGTGAAGCATTATCATATGTAATACTAAAATATGAGCTTCTTTCTGGTTCAGTTTTATACAAAATTCAGATGCAATTTTTATATATTATAATGAATTAGAAGAATGGTCACGAAATAGCTTAATCAAATCAAATGTGACTGTGCCTTGTTGATTTTTAGAGATTACGATTGTACTCAGCTGCAGACATTTTTGAAGCTACTCTTAATCTAAATAATGAGACTTGTAACCAACGCTTTAATGATTCATTTGAATAATTCTGCAGCCGGCTATATGTCTGTTTATATTTTTATTTCTATTTAAGATGATGAAGAAATATAATAAGATAATGTATGTATATATGATTTCCAACCTTTAGGAAAGTGTAATAAATTATTAATAATATTACATGGTCTCTGTGAATATAATAGCTACAAAGATAACATGAGGTTAACAAGTTTGTTAGTAGCATTAGATTGTATAAAATAATGTTTAGACGTAATATTTTGCGGTCTCCGTTAATACCGGCGAAACAAGCATTCGATATGAAACATTCGCAGTTCATATTAGACTATCCAGAAGGCAGAGTAATCATTGCCTAAAAACAACTACTAGATTCAATATCTAACAATAAGAGTTAATCGTAAGAGGTTAATTTAAACATTCAACGATCGTTAAGAGTTTCGCGCCGCTCCAAAAGGTGTCGCTAGTGATGTATAATACCTTTGGTGACTTTCACATACTGAAATTTCAAGTCTCAGAAAGCCCTTGCACTTTTTTGTAACGAGCTCTCCGTCTAAAAGTCAAATTTATATTGTTACTGAAATAACTTTTCAAATGTCACTATTTCGATGATAAATTATAAGCGAGGCGAATGCAATCCCTGGTTATATATATATATATATATATATATATATATATATAAATAACATCGATGTACCTACGCAGCAGAAAGAAGGAAGGCGCGAAACATTTTTAGTCTATCATAAGTTTTGCTATAGGTTGAAGCGTGCGTGCACGCATTAATGAATGTCTTAGATCTTAATTTAACGCATTAAAGTCTATATTTCAAGTGGATTGGTATATTCTATCGGCTTTGGGTTGCTCTTAGTTTTCCTTATAAAAATGATACTACTGTAAGAGATCTATTCTAAGTTGCTCTTTACCTTTCCGTTTTAGCATCTCTCGTGACTCGCACTCGCTTTTTTTTCAATCGTTTTGCTTTGTGAAAGCAGTTACAACACTAATGTATATTCGTTTATAAAATATATTCTCAACCCCCGGGGCGGAGATCAGAAAAAGTAGGCAAAAACAAAGTAAGATCTATTCCTCTCTTAGTTTAACTAATAAATGTATGAGATGGAAACTTTTATGTTTTATTTATTGAGTTTAGCGGATCATTTACGAGAAATCCGAAATTTCGAAGCCTGTCCTTAGTTATATGCTTGCGGTTATGCGTTTACCGTAAAAAAAGTTTTTTCTCTCAAAATTTTTAGATTTTTCTAAATTATATCTAACTAGCTTTCCGACAGCGGCTTCGCCTGCGTGGTCTTGTATTATACATAAAAACCTTCCTATTGAATCACCCTATCTATGAAAAAAAACCGCATCAAAATCCGTTGTGTAGTTTAAAAGATTTAAGCATTATTGTTAGTACTTTGATTTATTAGTTTTATGAAAGAAGTCCACTTGTATTGGGTAACCCATATATTAGCGGTCGAAATTACTAGAAAATGCATGTTAAAAACATTTTTAATTATATATACAGGTTTATGTATTTTCTATTTATATATGTATTCGTATTTTAACTATGTTAACAAGAATAGGTATTAAAAACTGGGTCTTTACAATAGATAATGTTACGAGAACACGCTCGATTCGTTCCTGAAAGGCGCGTCTTGGCCTTCCGCTGCTTCTGTTACCTTCTATTTCGCTTTTTATATCGGTTTTATCATTCTTTAATCCGACTTTCTTTATATTTGTCCGAACTAACGGAGCATACAGCAGATACAACTGATGTGACTCACTGATGATTATGTACCCGCGCAGAAGGCTCAATTTAGAAGCTCTGCAACCGTCGACCAATTAGAACATTTCAAGTATCACGCCATCAGGCGATCCTCCAATATCCACGCGGCTGACCCCCGCTGAGTGTGAGCGAGAAGCACGCCTAAATGTTTTGTATTTTACACCATAACCTTATTGAAATAAGACTCTGAATTGGCGCCAAGAGTCATCATACACTCACATTAGTTGAAACTGATTGTACTTGTCTGTTAACTTTTATACTGGTAACGTCTTAAAATTTTATTATATTGAAATTTTCTGTTAATATATACATTTTAAAAAATAACATTCAGTTAAATTGACGACCTCCATAGCCGAGTAGTTCGCACGCCGGTTTCATGGAGGTCATTGTAGAAAATTAACTTTTATATCTGGGTGTTGTAGCGCCTTCGTTGTCTCAGGTACTCCATAGTACGGGGCGCTTTAGGTACTCATCTTCGAATCTGAGCAATGTCACGTACATGTTGTCTAATATTTATATTTATTTAAATTGTTTGTTATATTTAATATACATGTATAATATTTAATTGAGTTCCATTTAAGTGTCATTCGATTGTTAGAGTAAGAACATTCCGACGACAAGCGTAGGACGTGACAATTCTAAAATTGATTTGGTGTTTTTTTAATAATATATTGTATAATAATATCTATGTTGTATGTTGATGTAGTTGTTTTATATATATATATTGTTGTCGGTTCACAGACTAGAAATATGTCATGTCAATAAGTCATGCATTTTTCAGTAATAAAATAGTAAATAAATTAGTTTCTGCCTCTATTAGAAAAACAAGACTGCGCATTCAATAAATTCTTACCTAAGATTCGTAGTTTATTTTGCAGGTTCTTGTGATCTTGCATATGAACTATCGAGACAAATACGTAATAAATGTACTTGTGACTCAAAACTGGGACGATGAATCGTTATCATATTATATATATATCACTATTCTTGGGGCACGGAAATAGATGTTGAATCATTTCCTTAATAAGTTGAGTCCAATCCCATACTACGTAGGACAGCCGAGCCCGAGTTTGATATTTTGACGCTGGGAAATGCGTTACGCGTACCGGTTCCCTTGAGCTATTATTGCATTATAATATCAATTATGTGTAAAAAAGTCTATTTGGACACATCCTTTTATACAGCAACTCAAAATAAAAACAAATGTCGGCATTGACTTGAGACAAGGGAAACATACTTGTAACAATAATTTGTCTCCAGTGACGGATTTATTGAGTAATTAATTAATAAATGAATAGTGTATTTAATGGAAACACCATTGAGATGCCATTGTAATGTCAAACGCAGAATTGAGTTACAGACAGACGCCAGAACGTTCGTTTACTAATTATATAATGGCCACAACACAAAGCCATGTTTTGCTGGTGCAGTTTACGCGTGGGGTCATTTTAATATGTGATACGTACTGATATTTGGAGTGTTATCGATTGTCTAGGAGCAAACGTAATTCTATCATGTATATATTTATAATTCTAAAATTGTTTAATGCCTTAATGTCTCACGTTATTGTTGGTTAAGGTATAAATCAGCGTGTTTTATAACGCTGCTTTCGCATATAACTGATACACCCTATATGGGGCTATTCATAAATTATTTCACATGATATTTATGGTTTTTGGACCTCTCCTTATCACAGCTTGTCCATATAAATAATCCCCCCCCCTCCCGGGGGCTTAAACATGTGACATCGTTTACGGATGGCCCTCAGTTTTTTTTATTGGTTTGCAATGGTATATTTTTATTGATTATGTAAATACTACATATTGAATGTATTTATAGTGTAGACGTTATAAATTAAGATAGCTACCGATGGTGCAGTCTTCGACTAGATGTAGGCGTAACAATTGTAATGTTTGAATGAACTATGGTGGGCGACTGCATTGTTACAGTCAGCATTATATACTAGGGTGAGGTCAAGACAACCGAATATATCGAATTAATACCGCCAGTTGAAAGGCTAATTGATTCATGCGATCCATTTTCGAAGTTATTCAGGTTTATAGCTAAATATTTGGATTCGAATTTGCTGATTCCAAATATGTATTAAAATACATATAAGGAATTTTCTATTTTATTCTATTCTAGATTTTTTTGCACTAGTAATTACCACAAGCATAGTCTACACATACGATGTGTCGATTCTTTGACGTTTATAATTTTTACATACATGCTTCTTATGGCTTCGACGTCACTATGCAATAACCATCAATTTGTTCGCCTTGGCCTTACTGGGGTTTTCGTTAAATCCCTCTCGAGTTCCTAGCCAGCGTATAGCGCACAGGCTTGCACTAGTACACATATTTGGACTTCTATAGTCGCCAGGGGACTGACTTCGGGGTCAACACATGTACTAACAGGATATGGAACAAACATTGAAAGCGACTTGATATTTTGAAGACTGTTAATTTAATAACATGGCCAGAAGTGCCAGCTGTTACCGTGCACTACTATTGTCCTGGTGAGCATATAGGTATTCATGTAATCGAGTGTAATTAATTTTAATTAGCTTGAATCACCAGATTCACATATAATTATGTTAAAAGATGTTATTTTTTTACTTAGTATTATTACTGTATCATTTGCGATTTTCAATTATAATTTATTTGTAAGTTTTAGATGTCCATATAATCTAATTGTAATCATGTACCTTTGAAGATATGTCGATATTTGTAAAATCGTATTGAATAAACCAAAATGAAACACAGACGAGTCTTTATAAAATCACCTTTTTAATAGATTCACTTTTTCAAAGTAACAAATAAATTAACCGACAGTAAAATAATCGCTTAAAACTATAGATTAGAAGATAGAAGTAAGATATCTAATTGGTTCCTACAAAGCTCGCCCGTCGAGGGCCGCTACACAGGACGCTACTGTAACTTCTAATCTAAACAATAACATATGCTCCCTTACTGAAACCGGCCTTCGTACGAGCAAAATCTAAACGTTACCTCCTGTGATGTCGGATTGGCTGACAACTAAATTAGATTTTGCTCGCAAGCGCACTGATTTTACATACAGCTCTCATTACTCTTTACTTTAACAGGCTTGTCACTAAACAATGCTCATCTGATTGACCTTCACAACCTTCGCAAGTGAAATGTTAACTTGAAATAGTTATAATTTCAAGTGTTTTGTAATAAGAGTGTTAAAATAAAGTTGCTGAGTATAAAGTATATAGCGCGAGGTACGAAACAAATATTGCAATTTCCATTCAATCGGACAACAGTAGCTAAATCTCCGGCTGTTCACGCAACACTTGATCTTACGACGACCAGTTTAGAATTCATTTCGAACTACTAAGAATAGATAATGCTTTTTTATGAATAGTAATAGTTCGAAGTAAGCGTGACTTAGAACACTACAATATAAGGATAAATTAACCAGTCCCCTGGCGAATACTGATGAAAATAATTTCTATCACAAAATGTAAATAGTTGCAGCCCTGGTTTGTGTTGCGACATAGGCCGTGATTTAATACTTAATGATAAGTTTACAAAAAATACAGTAGTAGTAGTAGTAGAAAAGGTGATGTATACATTTGAAAAACTTAAGCAATATTTGTCACTGATATCACCCCCCCCCCCCCCAAACAGCGCCCACCTTTTTTTAATCGAATTTTGACATTCAATAAGAAAGTATAACGATCATAATTAAATATCGATTATAAACTAACTAATAATATAGCATCGTTCAATAGTAAAATGGATCCTGATATAATGTTTATATAATATCTATTTCACTCTCATATCGACAAGTACGGAATGCTCATCCACAATCCCCATCAAGGTAGGTATGGTATTTCCTAATATAAATGATAAATGTGCCCGGTGGGCGCCGCATTACCCCAACCGAACATCTACCTTGGTCTCGCTAGCACCGCCCCGCCCACTGTAGGCGTGTCCGACGCGCGGCTTACAACGCGACGGCACGCACTCACCACCGCATTCAGAGGCCTCGTTTTTCTTTAATAAATTAAATACGAAACAAATGAAGGAACTTTCAAATTGTTTTCTTTTTAATCGATGTTATGATTGGACGCCTCTGAGTGCGGGGTAAACAAGTTTCTTAGACTCTAGAACTATGTGATTCATATATATTTTTCCAAATATTCAAATGAAAATCATTAAAACCGCAATAATAATAAATAAGATCGATTATTCTCTGCTATATTATCATGCAGCGCGACTGTTTTTATGTACATACAACAACACACCAGGCAACGGCAACACGTCTAATCTCCGCTATCACTTTTGGGAATACGTTTACAATACATTTGTGTACTGGTGTGGTGTAGAATGTGCTTTTTATCGATAAATCGTTAATATATAATTATATATTTACCTAGTTTATTATTGTATATATATAGCCATAAACGAGGTGTCGGCCGATAACGTGTTCTAAAACAGCCCATTCTAAACTTATAATTATTAACATACTGAATTTTCTCCTATCAAAGATATATATTATCTATATTTTTTTTTTATATTATATAATCATACTCATTTAAACAATAAATGACATATTTTGATATTTTTTCAGCACATTTAATTATGATAAACATTATGATCAAACGCGAAAGTATTTTTATAGACGATAGAAGAAAACTACTTCTTTTCAGAGTCTACTACGGTACACTATTGAAAAATTTCACGCTAATTGGAAATTTCCAACGCTATTAACGTCTCGCTCGCTCTTTATCAGAATTTCTTCTCACCCGCTCTAAATTTAAGCTGACCGGCGGTTTGATGTGTCGTAATTTTAATTCTGAATAGCTTGATAGGCAGTACCTATACGTACATACAAGTATTTGCTATTTCGGGTATGTTTATATGATAATTCATTATTTCGCCGTAAATGCAGGCCAGTTTATATTTTATTTTAGAATACGATCCATTAGTATTGGGGGTCGTCTATTAATCACGTGATGTTCTTTTCCAGTATTTTTCAACCCCCCCTCTCCCCTTGGTGATACATACAGGTTTAAGACTAACCCCTCTCCATTCAAATCTTGTGTATTTTTAGTACCTACAAAAATCTTAATATTTGATGCCGTTTTTCGGTTTAGTAATTGCAATGTTGAGGTAAAGATAACCTTCTTTCGAGCCTCACGTGATTAATGGACGGCCCCTTATTTGTATTTGATGAATAATTGTGACATTTTCAAATCAATAAGACTTTATTTCATTAATAGATATATTTCATTAACTTTCAATGGGCTTTCATTATTGCGTTAATTGTCCTACAGATTAATATTCAGTTGAAAGTTTGGATACTATTGTGTGTGCCTAATATAAATATATATATTTAACGAAACAATCATGCAATATAGTATTATATCGAATCAACATTTTTCGCCCATCATAATGACAAAAAAAAAAAAAAAATATTCATAAGGTTTTTAAATACTACCCCTAAAAATTATATTTTTAACTTTATTATTAATATCTTTTATAAACTATATATAGAATTCTAAACATTGCAAAACGTGCATTCAATTATTTTTCTTTAAATCATCACATCACTCAAAAAAGTTATTAGTTAACAGAATAGAAGTAAACTTGATCTTATAATAACCTGTTTTGTTCATTAAAAACTAATTACCAATATATTATTAAGACAAATATAATTTATTTATAAATGAGACAGAGCCCTTACACATTTCATTTATTCTTCGTCTATATTATTTAAATGAATAAAGACGCGGATGACGGCAATAGCTGTCAAAATAAAGTCCACAGAGTAACGTTCATAAAAGAACAACTGAAAGGTACTGACGACTGCAATAAGTGTATGAAGTCATCTCGATAATTAAACACGTTAGTCACATGAGTAAAGACAGTTAAAGAGGCAAAGATCCCCAGTTGTGTTGTGATAGAAATTTTCGTTTAGAGTTATTGTTATGATAATTTGTATTTGTATACTTTAGTAGAATGTTGATATATTTTGAATTTGATTCTGAAACACTGACGTGTTATATGTAAACCGGTAACAACCGGTTTTCGCGGTCTCGTTCACAATGTTAGGGTAGCCTGTACGCCAGTTTGATTTCTCTTTTTAAAATAATAACAATATAGTGTTCAAATGTATCTGTCATAGATCTTTAGGTTTCTGCTCTGTAAATATTTACCCTATTCGTGGTTGGTTAATATTTTACCTTAATAAATTATTTTATAAGTTTCCCAGAAGTATGTATTTGACATGTTTTTGGATAAGCACTCAGTAATTTTTAATGAACATTTAGTGTTACCTAATTACCTCTGTTTAGGTCTTTACTCATGTGCCGGCGTTGCATGTGTGGGACAGTTAGGGTTGTGTTTAGCAGACGACGGCTTCCGATATGGGGTTCTCCGTGATGCGGATGACGGGCGAGTGACGACAGCGACGCCTGCCCCCCGCCCCAGCCCCCGCGTCTGACAGCCGCCGGTACAACACTATCTTGGTCGGTGATAGCGGAGCCACTAGAACACAATATTTATGTCGTTTTTATATATAGCTTACTTGTAATAGGTATATATATTCATGCGTTAATTAAATATGTATATTTTTATTATAGGACGCGTTTGTAAAGCTCGAACTCTTTGGCGGGTTATGTCTATTTTGTCGTTCTAACGGCAATAAAAACCTAACCAGTATGGCAAGTCGACCTGCCACTGTACTCATTTAAGTGTAAATCGGGAAAAAACGTCGAACAAGCTTTCAGACGGTATAACTTCAATGGTACATTGCCAATACAGCAATTGGCAATGTACCATTGAAGTTATACCGTCTGAAAGCTTGGATGCTAAATATTAACTGAGCAAAAGGGAAACATAGTATGTAATATATTATATTTTTAGGACTCAAGCTTTGAAACATTGGTCGACACTACTTTAGTCATAGTATAATTTGTATAGTTTTGTATATGTACTTAGTTTGTCGTATAGAGCTACTATTGCAATCGTTCTGACTCGCGTTTTTTCAGCCCTCCACAATCACATCACCCATGGGCCGGAGCAACTATTGTAAATCTTGGTACGTTTTAATCGAGATAAAGACATAAAAAATCAATATATTCATTAAATAGGCATGCAATGAGCATAGTCATAATATTCGTATTTATATGAACATATAAAATGCGAGAACCGTTGGTCTACGCAGTAGGTACACATACATTTTGTGACATAATTGTAATGATATTTAATAATAAAAAACATGACATACTGACAAACTGTAGCATTTACTTTGTCCTAAAATTCTAATTACCAGTGGTCGGAATTAGGTAGAGTTATTCATGTACTTACACTGATTTCATACAGCGAAAGAATAAAGTAGATATGCCTCAAATCCCGAAATTAATTTTAAAGAGCAGAAAAAATCCCGTGATTTTTTAAATAAAAAGTTATTTACTTTTACACAATTTAAACTACTGCACGCACGACGTTGCTAAACTTACATCAATGACATTGTAGTCCAAAGTCATAATAATTTGTATTGTAAATTAATGTAAACTAATAAATTTTTTATGTTAATTATCTTTGTTTTATTTGTCTATCTCTGACGTTGTTATTATTATTTAGTTGTAAGATTGTTGGCCACACGGGATTGTCCATTAGAAATCCCGGGAAGGTCCACATTAACATCAACATTTCGATGCAAGTACATAAATAACTCTACCTAATTCCGACCTTTGCTAATTACACTCCACAGTGTCAATTTTGCTAATATTATCCTATAATGACATAATTTTCTGCAATAAATTATGGCATTTCGATTATCTGAAATAAATATCATATTATAATCAGGAGATCTATACGTAATACAGAGAATTGTAAACTAAATATATTAGTAAAATTATGCCTTGATAGTTCAAGGGCAACATATATCGTTGATAATATTATAACAGTTGTCAGTAGCTGCTAACTAGTAATGTCAAAAATAATGTTATCTAGACGCTTATATTAGCTGGGCCTCAGCCCAGTGCGATGTATTTGAACACACCCTAAGTATACGGTAATATAAATTTATATTTGGATCAGATCAGGTTACCCACAAGTTGGTAGCTTTACTTAGTAAATAAACAAAACAGAAACAATAATATGTACGCACCTTAGAGCGCGCGCAACAATCTTTTTGCTTAAGAATAATAAGTATTTGAATTAGCTAAATAAAAGACCCACGTTACTCAAAACCACACACAAAACACACCACAACATTAAGATTTAGCAAGAACCTCACCACAAACTCGTTTCTATAATAATTTTTTGAAGACCAATGTTAGAGTGTTAGTTTCCTAACAACTACTACAATATCGATCAGTTGCACAAACGTCCATTGCGGTTTAATGACGCCTTTAAGCTCTAATGAATGGCAAATTTGTATAGGAAATGTCTCTTTAAACTAATGAGAATAATAATGTACGTTTGTGCAACTGGCTGTATGACACTTATTGAGATTCGAATGATATTTAAGTTGCCGTTATATTTGTCACTATAATTATAACATATCGATAGAGTTAGATAATTGAATCTCATATCGTTTGTACAACAAAAACGACTGAATTTAAAAAGGAGAAATTTCAAAATATTTTCTCTCAAAAATATATGAGTAACACAAATAAAATAATTTAACACTGAATACCGAAAGAGATCTCATAAGAAGCTTGCGTGATGTGATTCCAAACATTTATTCTACTAGGCTTGTACTTACCAATTCATAAAAATATACGCAGTAAAATATTGTATTTCGAGCTACGTACACACAAACAAAAACTTATGAAATACTTAGCTAATATTTTAGATGTGTATTTGCTACTGTGAAGCATGGATATTATAAATTATTTTTGAAACATAATTATCTCATTTAAGACAATCTAGCTCTAAATAGGGTTTGTGACTACATACGCATAGTTGATATATTAGGTCCTTACATATGAAATTGGCGTTTTGTCGTACTGGCCACTTTAATCATAAATTTCTCCACCTTGGTTGGGAATTCCAAATTCAAATTTATACAGCCATTTATACATTCATTTGTTTTTCATCAGGCGGCATTTATTTGTTTTTTTTTTCTTCTATTTGTACTATTTACGTGACCCAGTATAAAAAATGGAAAATTTGAAATATCGCGTTATTTACGGGTTCCTCCGTGGTACCAGTGCTGCGGAAACGGCTCGAAGAGTTAATAATGTATATGGCTTTTCTACGATAAAGTGGATTTTCTATGACAATCGGAAGCGCTCATCGCAATGGTTGGACCCTGGCATGCCAGCCAAATCCTGCCCCAAGCGAAAATTGACTCCAAAGCGTAAGCGTTTGGTGGACTAGTGCCGGTGTCGTTCATTACAGTTTTCTCAAATCTGGCCAGACGATTACTGCAGACGTCTATTGTCAGCAATTGCAAAACATACTGGAAAAACTAGCTGCTAAACAACTGAGACTGGTCAATCGCTCTACGCCTCTGCTACTTCACGACAACGCTAGACCACACAATGCACAACAGACGGCTAAGACGGATAAGAAGAGCTTCAATTGGAATGTCTAAGACATCCACTGTACTTCCCGGACCTTGATGCAACAGATTCGAAATTTGGATAATTTCTTGCAAGGGAAAATATCAACTCCGATGGGGCAGTGCAGACGCCTTCAAAGATTTTATTGATTCCCCTCCGAATGTTTTTTTTTAGTAAGGGGATCAATGAACTACCTATGAGATGGCAAAAGTGCATAGTTAACAATGGTTTATACTTTGATTAAATAAATATATTAAAAATATTCGACTTTTTGTTCCTCCCATACCAAACGCCAATTTCATAGTAAGGACCTAATATTAATGTCAACGATACTACTTTACTAACGCACAACTTTAAAGGCTGTTAAGTAAATAATACACTTTTAAGAGCATAATAATATAACACTCCCCAAAGTTGTATTTGTTTAGTTTGCATAACTGAGTTCAAATGAAAATAAGCACAAGGAAATTGAAACAAATATAATATTATGTGTTATGTACATAAAAAAAAACAAACTTACTGTGTCTACTTAAGCTCCGGTAAAGAACTAGCGCGCCACTGCTGCCGTGGCAAGCGGAACAGTACCACTGCCACAAACAACACGCTTAGCTACAATCTACAAATTCTACACAAGGTGTGGTGCCCACCACGAAATGTATACAATAAAAAAGATCGGTAACCTCTTTGCTTTTTTTCTGTATAAAGCCTGATTTACACTTAGAATAGACGCCAGGGAGGCGAGTTAACTCGCCACTGTACTTATTCAAGTGTAAATCGGGATTTACATCAAGTATCGCTCCTCAGATAGGTACTTCCAGGATTTCTCTGATAAATTGAAGTGCGAAATTTGTTGTTCTTTGCGCCGACGTGTACCAGGAGACTATTTCTTTTCAATCTTTTTTTTTATATTAACATTATGTGGAGTCAACAATAAGGCTTCATTCACAAGAGAGTTTTATCCATTAACAAGTAGGATAACATTGAAGCAATATTTAGGAAACAGTTATTAAGAACCGAATAAAGGAAATGTGTGTCTTTGATTTTAAGCCCTGTATTTTATATAACACTAATTATACTACACTATCATAAACCATATACGAAACTCTCTTGCGAATGAGCTATAAGGTGCACTTCCACATATAGGCGTTTAGTCGCGGCTGACATCAGTCCTGCCACTATGGCGCTTATATGTGATGGCAATCTAAAGATGTTGAAAGTCAAATGAAAGTTGTCGACAGAAACTAAAAGCTCTTCGTCAACTTATGTTCGATGTGGAAGCACCATAAGGGTTGAGCTAAATCAGCAAGCACGGTAAATTCGACTTTTTCCATCGCCCTATCCTTTTCTGTTGTACAGAATCGCCATTTACTAGAATGAAAAAAAAAGTACCGTGTCGCTAGATCTAGCTCATCCCAAAGATCGACCACACGGTCGTTTACTATCGCTTGAGACAGCTTAATGTTGTGATTTGTGAAGCATTATGTATTAAGCACCTCCGCAAACGGGTAATATGTATAATGTTCGAGCATCAAAGCTGAAAGTTTCACTATAACATCCTAATGGATGTCAATCCTGGAGTAATCCCCAGTCGTCAGAATAGAGATTCTATTACTAAATACCTTTAAACAATGTTATTAATAAACAAGGATTAACGTTGGAGTGAATTCATGCTACGATCGCACTTAGTATTAGTCAAAATTCAAACAGAGACTAAGCCAACCGGTTACCAAATATATTACCTTCGCATTAACTACTACTCTGTATAATCTATTTGTAAACAACAGAGTTCATTAATAACACTGAAAAAGTCCAAACATATTAATTAAGCTTTTGATCACGTATTCTTTATATCTTTAGCCCCCGAGTCAATAAATATTCGTATCTGTAGTACCCGTACGAAAACCTTAATTCCATTTGCGGAAATAGATCAGGCTGTGCTAGTTATCAATTTTGACATTTATGCTGAGGATATTGATTTTAAATAATAAAGTTACGTGATAGTGTCTACTTATTTTAAATTTGTAGAAACTCTTTAAAAAGTGTGTATATATTTTTGGATCGGACTATATCACAATATACTTTCTCAAGCGATCGTAGACCGTTTAAAGTTTTATCAATGAATGACGACTCTATGTCTTGAAAAACATTCTCAAACAAGATCGCGCACCTAATCGTAAAACTCCAATACTCTCTATAATATCCAATTAAATATATTAGTTAATAAAATACAATTGTATCAATTCAAATGTTACGTGGCGCGTGTTACAATGTTGTTCCAACTGTTATAAGAACTTAACTCACCATAGAGGCGAGTTCATTAGCCATTGCACTTATTGCAGTGTAAATTAGGCTTTACTAAATTACTTTTTATTAAATGTAAAATTTTTGTCAATCTATTTTTTAATCTACTATAATGTCTTGATGATTAAAACAAAGTGGATTAATTTTACGATGTCATGAAATAATAAACTATATTACATTAGCATAGAGCTTGTTTCGATACGTGCAGTTGTCACGATTGAGTGCGCGATTGCATGTTCAAATCTACAATGTAACAGTAACTGTTTGAGGTGTACCATTTAAATTAATTTAAAAAAAAATATCATTGTTTTAATGTGAGTCAAAATAAAACGTAACCTTATAAGGCTTAACACCTCAACAATTACTATCAATATTGATACATAAGTATGTCAAAATAAGAAAATTAAAATTATACCTCTAAATCTATAGTCTAATCTGTGCTCTAATGTAAGTTCTACTAGAAAAAAGTCTAAAAATTATGAAAACAGTGCTCGAAAACTAAGATGAAATCTAAAAGGTAATATTACTGTGAAAATAAAAGGAAAAAAATGCATTTTTAAATGGAAATAATAACACACTGTGCCGTTTCTTCATCTTTAAAGTTAGATGTGGACCTATGAAATAAGATACATAATAAGATACTTGGACAAATAAACAAGGTTGTGAAACTAGACTTTCAATTACATACAAATTGTATTGAAAAAATATTTCTTAAAGACGCTTAAAATATTGAAGTGTAAAAAATAGAGATTTAAACAATTAATAGTAAACTGTGAAAAATTATATGGGTAATAAAAAGATAAATATTGAGATACTTGTAGTAACTTAGTGAGAAATCTTTTAAAGAGACATAAAAGAGTGTTTTAATAAAGATTTAAAGAGTTTTGATCACCCAAGTATTGGAAACAGAGCAGGATAATGAACTATAAATGTATATGTACATATAGAAAAAATTTTTACTTTATAAATATATTTAATATATGTATTTTTTAATATGACATAATATAAGAAATGGACCTTCATGATAATAGCCACTCGACTAGCAGCCTACTTTAACATAGAGGTCTGCCTATCCTCAAAATACTCACCATCGGCTTAAAGGTCCAAGACTCGGACGAGACGCGATGAAAAGGATATTCAAATGAGGCTCACAATAAAAAGGTCGATATCAATGGCATTTAAACATACAGAGATTTTTCTTTGATAAACCAAGAAATAAGAAAAATCAACAAAAATATTTTAGGCATCGTTTTAAGGGTTCTTATAATTAATGTTCACTTTTAAACAATCACGCTGCATTATTAAATACTTATAATACCGGGTATAAGCCGATCTGCGCTGCCGTTTCTTATGATTACATTGGGGTCCTACTTTTTAGTTGTGAAAAGCTTTGGATATTTATGTGCCTGTATTTATTGATATTGTTGATAGAATTAGAGAATAGGGCTCCAGAAACGGCTGAGAATTTACAATTAACCATATAGTATTGATAATTGTCAGCAATATATTTATGATATCTGATTCTATCCATGTTATATGGAGATAGTAGGACTAATTTGTTATTTTAGAAACATCTTTGGAGAGTAACGTACGTATCTGTTGACTTAAAATTTTTGATAGATAATGCAAAATTATTTACTGTTTGATTGTTCATATCTTGACAATATAAAGGTTTATACTGTTATATAATTGTAATCTCAGAAATACTGGTAGGCATTAGAATACAAAGAGATATTATAAATTTACTTAGTTTTTAGAAAAAAAAAAAAGAATTTAGTGTTTCTTTTATAGTATTTTTTTCGGAATAGTATAAGACCCAGATTGTATCCCTAAGGTATACTTTTACGTATTGTCTAACAGTGGACGCGTCATTACTTACCATATCCTTCCCCCTGTAAGAAAAGACGAAAAGCTTCAGACAATTTTCCTGGCTGCTCTTCCAGCACCATGCCGCAATCTGAGATCTAAAAAAATGGACATAAAATTAGACATTCAAGGTATCTTAATGAAAGGCTTTCTCTGCTCCAGGTGATATGATTGGCATCGAATTGAATCACTTTGTAGATCGTGCCATTTTTAAAACAATTTTACCTTCATCCATGTGGAAGTGGATGGGTTCAAGCGGCCGTTGAACGTGACGGTATCGTCTACGTGCGGTGACAGGGCACCAGTGATATTGAGCACTGGCACTTTCAAGGTGTCACCGTCCCGGCCGATGCACAGGTCGCTCCGGCGCACGTACGACTCGATGAACAACGACAGGTTAGTGGGGTTCACGTTACGAGTGAAGTGAGACCTGTACATCTGTGCCAAGTCGTGGTTGCGTTCTTCTGGCAACTGTGAACAATTGTATAATTCATTGTTTAACCTTCTACTTCTATTATTATTAGAAGCATTGGTGAAATTCGCGTGTATAAAAAAGAGTAGGATAAATTCACTGGAACACCCGTGGAGTACACAATTTAATGCGTTTCCTTAATGTTGACGCTTGAATGAGAATGACATGGGCACGCATCAACCAATGAAAACGAGCTCCCGCGTAATAGCGGAACGTTACGATTGGCTTAAATTTTTAACTAGTATATAGTAACTTATAAACTTGGTTCTACTGTAAAGTCCTGTGTTAAATTTAAAATTTATTTCGAATATAATATTCGCTATGGGATACTGAGTACCGAGCAAAATATGGCTTCATTGTTGTTATCTTAACAAGGCGACACATACAAAAAAGAAATTCATACACGTAACAACACAAAAGGATACCACTATTATATGTACAAGAATTTTACTTTAGCACAGTTATTATAATGTCAGCATTAGAATTCGTTTTAATATTAGTAACTCAGATATAAATCTACCACAATATTATGATAAATTACTTAAAAAAAGCATAAAAACATAGTCGCCTTAGCTCTAAGCTTTCTGAACTAGCATTTTACATTTTTATTCAAGCACTAATTTTAAGCATACTTGGAAAAAATTACGTAAATATGTAAAGCGCACATTGCGAAACAATGCCCAGCTACTTATGTTACCATAGACAAGGTAAACACAATGACTTTTGTTCTTGCCTCAAAAGGGCTGCGCACTATTGTCGCTATTGTTCGGTGCGCCTGTACTCAGTAGGCAGAGGCACGGTTCTCATTAATGCATGTAGGTCGTATACTGTAGTGCCATTACTGATTATTATACAAAAACAACCTTCGGAAGAACGGCACTAGGACGATATTTGTAAAGCTCCAAGGGGGGGAACTGTTAGATTTTAATTTAAAAGATTGTGAAAAACAAACTGGTCCGAGCTTCATTATTTCATTTCATAAAATATTACCTATCGTATAAGTATTATAAGACGCTATGCTTTTCATAATTTTACGACAAGAGTATAGAAAAATGGAAAAGAAAAGGCACTTTTAGAAATATACGCAGAAACATAATGATAGCATTATAAAAAACTAGCTTTCATCTAGCGGCTTCGCACGCGTGGTCCTGTATTATACATATGTATGTACTGTCCTCTTGAATCTATTTATTTATTAATCACTCTCTATATATTGATTATACTATAAATAGATACTGATACATGGTTTACTTAAGAAGAAAATAGCAAAGCACGCTATAGTTACTCCATGTAGGAGTTAACAATATGTATAACTAAAGCTTGATTCAATTTAAAGTTCTGCAACTAATATGTGGTGGGTAGCCCGCAAGTTGGCCGTTCAGGAACTCTTATTATTTGATTTAACTTGTATCGCTTCGAATATTATCTTAATTCATATATAATCCGTATCAAACCATATTTTTAAACGACTTAAAAAAGGGGGAGGTTTTTAATTCGACTGTATGTTTTTTTTGTGTGGTTCTTACGCGATCACCCCATCAATAATGAACCGATTTCAAAGATTCTTTTTTATTAGACAGTTAAATAAAATTTTATCGAAATCGTAACAGTAGTTTTCTTTTAATAACGAAACGAAATATGATCTTCATCAGATAGCACCAATATATTTTGATGCCATGTTTATATCAGAGAAAAAAACAAATGATAGCATACTGAGCATTCATTTATTATACAGCTTTTAAGATAAGTATTATTTTTCACTTTTTTTAAGGTTTTTATATCCAAAACACACAATTTATAATAAGTACTCGTAGATAATTATAATCGCTGGTAAAGTAACCAGTGTTTTTGGACTAACAAACAAAAGCCATTTCCAGTGTTATATCAAACACACAACAAAATTTCAACAAAGCAGGCATGCCACATAACTGGATGGAAAATAAAATACATAATTGAGCCGCCAGCAATGAACTCACGCAAGCCACTAAGAACAGCCAACAACAGTTACAAAGGTGAAATAAACCTTATCACAGGTGCGCAGGGCACCTGATAGATCGCACCAGTTTTTCATAATATCATTGACTAGAAGTCGCTGCATTAAAATATTCAAAGGCGAGTTCGCTTGGCAAATAATAGTTTAAGCACAGACGCGTAGCTGGGACGTATTATCAACACAGGATTAATATGAGTCGGTCGATAAGCAGATAGTTTTTAAACCTTAATTTTAGTGTAATTTGTCAGTTTTAAAATGAAACGTATACCTAATTCATTCCTCGTTTGATAAAGATACTGTGGAATCTTTTCACAGTGTTTGTATAAATAACAAAAGTTATATTTGCAGTTATTGAAAATGTGTAGATTTTATAATAGAAAACATTGTCAAATTGATGAAAAATAATATTTTTAGTTTATTTTCATAATATTATTCTATAGTCACATAGGTTTACTTCTGTTATCTTAGTCATTTCACAATTGAAAATGCAGTTTGGCAGGACTAAAACAAAATCTAAACTAGAGACATAGATCTATGCTTAGTTAGTCAGACAAATGAGTGAATAAGCTCTCCACTTTTATAAGCCACATGTTTTGATTTTAATATCCTGTTAAATATTCAACAGGCTGCATTACCATGACTGAACGATCCTATATTTAGAGTTCAATACGATATCAGATTTTTATTTGCTCCTCCTTAACTTAAGGATTTTAAGTGATGGAGAAACAAGTAACAGTGACGTTATATCTATATATTTATGGGTATCTATTGTTATATCAGTTACTATCGATGTAGTAACATGATACTATTGAGGCTTGAGGACCGGTTCAGCTATAAATTCTGCGTCATCACTCGTAATTAATGTCTTCCTAAGTCTCTGTTCTGTGACAGAGGGAAGTAATTTTTCTTGATGCTAAGTATAGAAGGCCCGCGTGTTTGATGTAGATAAATAACTTTTAAAATCGGTCCCGCAACTTCGTAGCCTATTCAAATTAACCTTTACTCTGTATAACATTAGTATATGTTATTTACAAAAAAAATGTACAGAAAAAAGGAAAAAAACATTTTTTCAACTAATAGATGGCGCTATTACATAGTACAAAATGTTAGTATTAATATCTATCTTACCAATCAATCTTGACATTAAAGAATGTGATTCATCTTTTCATTAGGTACACCATACACCCGTGTGAAGCCGGGGCGGGCAGCTAATATATATAAACTGTTAATAAAATTCAAGAATCTGAATTGATGGATAATGATTGACGATACTGATACCCAGAAAGGAGCTATTGACGGCCAGTACAGTTAACATATTTTAATGAAATAAGGTCTCGTTTGCTTGAGGTTTAACTAGTTTGGATGTTTGAATTACGCATAATTTTATGTTAAGTATTTAAAATATATATATATATATATTAATATTACTATACATTTCCGATAACAACTAAAATTAATGGCTTCAAAATTTAGTTTACTATGTATGTTATATAAAAACTAATTTGAGAAAAAAACAGTGTCGGTGCTGGAAATATGAGTGCTGGAAATTTATCTTAAAACAAGCCCGCGTGGTGTCTAAGGAACAGTTAATTTGGATATCGATTAGTATGGCTAATGATTTTTTTTTAATTTCTCTTTAATATCAATATCGTTATGAATACAAAATTTATGCCTTATTTATTACAAGACTCCTTTCTATTCATTATTATTTAGATAATATTCCGTTTAAAAATATTTTTACAGAAATTCAATTATTTTAAAACTTAACTACCTCATTATAAGTTACGAGTTTTTAGGGTTGAGAAAAGGTTACAATTAGAACAATGTCAAAATAATCTTAATTAAAATATGCATTTAAAAGTACTTTCGAGTGTTCCAACATTTGTTTCCATTGTTGTTTCTCCACCACTCGTTCAGGGGCTCTATTTTTGAATCATTCGTCTCGCGTCGAGCGCTCGTTTTCTACTGATTTTCGTTCGACTTAACAAATTCGCCATTTCTAAATCGCTCGACTGCAACGAGTGGTATGAACCACTCGTCGCTTAGCGAACGTTGTATGCGAGTGATAGAAGAAAACGAGCGCTCGACGCGAGACGAATGATTCAAAAATAGAGCCCCAGGTCGTCTGTACGCATTTTTCCCACTAACTAATTAATAATAGCAATTTCAATAAAACATAATAAGATTATGTTGTACTAAGACTTCTGTGCAATAAACTAGATATTATTGTGCAATAAACTAGATATTACTTGAAATAAAATAATATATAAATTAATCGGATCGGATCGTGTTTTAACCAATTGTACGGCGCCATTGTCTTTGTAGAATGCGCGGGAAGAATTATTAATGGCGCGGAAATAAAGCGGGGAAAAAATTGCCGCTGCAACTACCGTCATTTTGACCTGCTGCGTCGCGCGTTTGTTTATATAATCATTTCCTAGCTCTAGGATAAATTTATAAAAATATATATTATTTGTGATTTCTTACATTCACAATGTTTAAAATCGTAATATTCGTCTCGTCTTTCTCTCCTACTCGTAGAAAGGTTTATTATTAATATGTTTTTATTTTGTATCCTTACTATGAGCCCTTTATTTATTATCCCACAGTACTCTATATTTTAGCTGTTTGAGTGGCGACCCAAAATATAAATATTATTAATAGTTATATAATAATAGATATTGTTAATAAAATAAAAATTTAATAAAAAATATTGTCATCGGTTTGCTAACATCCTTAAAAAATCTCGCTTCGTTACTGATACAAAAATAAGAGACGACCTTCTAGGTTTCAATACAACATAATGAGTACAAATTACAATAAAAATAATTATTTCAAACACATTTTCGTTAGTAAAATGGTAAAAATATTTGCTTTCTAATGTTTAGGTCATTAGAAATAAGCACGCTAACAAACCCGTTAGTTTGTTTCAGTCTTATTATAACATGAGGACTAAAGTTAGTACTTGGTTTAAACCATTGGCCGGCGAAAGCAATTTTACAATGACAGAAGAGAAAACGTCTAATTGAGACGTGTCGCCTTTGTCGGATCATTATCCATTTACCATTGTAAACCCTTTTAGGTACCCTGCACTAAACTTAGTCTTCGTTTTATAATAAAACGGTTTAGGTCTTTCTAGTGATCGGCATTTGCAGGATTAGATCACGCAATAATTTCATGTTCTTTCCCCACCATGCACAGTACAAGAGTAAGTATAAAGAGAAGCATACCCTGCCGAAATGGTGCCACATGAGATAGTCGAGCACGCTGTGAGTGATGCCGTGCGCGCGCAACGACCTGCAGTTCATCTTCTGGTACGCCCACTCGATCCATCCCGCTTGGCTGGACGTGCAGTTTATCAGCGCCAGTGCGTCCACCTGTGGTTTAAATTAATAAAACATATTGATCTGCCACCCAGTAAGCACTCGGAATATGACTATGACCCTTTCGGGGTAGGCAGAGAGGCGGGAGCGTCAAAAGACTCCCTTGTTTGATATCAAAAGACGTGAAAGTGTTGACAAACGATTTTTCTGTTTTATGTGCAGGCTTACATAAAGTAGAGGGGTAAGGTTACTTAAAAACAATCATGAAAAACATTAGAGTTGGCTCACTTTGAGCGGATGCGCGAGCGCGAACCTCGCGAGGATGTTGGCGCCAGCGCCGACGCCGAACCCTATGAAGGACTTGATGCCGAAGTGGCCCACCACGTAATTCACCTGGTTGGCCAGCTCCTCCATAGTCGGGTACACGTAACTGCAACAATCGTTATCATTTAAACTCCATCATAAGGATAACAACAGTATGAGCTCAGGAGCCGCCCTGTTTAGTTTTGACATCGGAATTTCGGATAATATCGTTACGCTGTTATAGTTATATTGTTCATGCATACTATTGTACAGATTATTTTATATGTGGAGGACTGTGCCACGTATTATTCCTGTTAGATTCTAATTGTCGGCTTAGTACAGCGGTTATTTGAAATTTTTAATTTCGGAGAAACATAATCGTTGTAGGGAATATGCCTGATGACTTTAACAATGTCAATGTTATAGGACCAACACGTTAATTGAGTGTAAAATAATAAAAGTCAAACTGGCTGGCTATTATAACCAGAGGCGTGTGTTTCACGCCAATCAAAACTAAGAAAAAACGCAGTACTTACGCAAAGAGCTCTGTGAGTGTGAACGTGTTACATTCTAGAAATATAAAATCGGAATTTGGTTCAAAAGTTGAACACTAAAAAACTCTACGTATATATTTTAAAACGGATGTTGTCATAAATTCGAGTAGAATCGATCGCGCCTGAGAAAATATCTTACATCCCCTTTTTAACTCTTATGCGTTATTCATCCACTTGGATTATGCAACTGCTTAATGTGCCTCCTATCCAAATGTCATGTAGGGTTGAAGGACGGTCAGTTCAATTTGAGCTTAGACCGGACACAAACCAACGTCTTGATGATGGAGTGACCCTCCTTACACATACATAAGGGGTGCGACCGCCTATCTCTCTATATATCATAGAATACGACACTTTAGCGATATTACGACGATATTTTGTTTCATTATACTACTTTGACAAACGAACGAATGATAAAGTGTGATAATGATGAATTTGACAACACTCACCAACTCACTCATTTATCCTATATTAACCCACCAATAGACACGTCAATGTAGTAATTACTAAGATTTCCTGTATTAAAATTAACATTAGTTTAAAGCATTCGATACCTATAATGTTTTAAACCCCTAACAGACGTTTGTGCACCTGGATGTAAGAGGCATTCAATAATGATACGCCACATTTTATTAATATTGTTATGAATTCTTTCTTTTGTCTGAGTAAAAAATATTTTTAGTTTTTAGTTATGTGAACCAAAGTAATGTTTTTCAATACCTATTTTATTAATGTACAGTAAATATAAACTTAGATCAGAATCGAACAATAGATTATAAAGAAAAAAACGCAATCTAATGTTAGCAACCGATAAATTCAACGCTATAAGGTTTTCAGTATCAGCACTATTATTCGCTCTAGTTGCTTGAAATAATAAACAAACTTTAATGTTATCAATTATGCTATGATATTACGAGCTATTCATAGAATCGGTAACAGCAGCAGTCGTTACCCGAGGAGTAGCTCACCCCGAGCGGTGGCGGCGGCCCGTATCGAATTGTTACATAACACTGCGGCAAGGCGCCTTCTGTTGTACACAGCTCACTGTGACACCAATGCTAGTTTTCAAAATAAAAAGTGGAAATAATAATTTGTTACTACAGTACTAGCTGTTTTCCCGCGACTTCGCTTGAGTAAATTGTAACTTCCTGTAGGTGAAAGAATTTTTAAAATCAGTCCAGGAGTTTCGAAGCCTACGTAAATAGCATAAACGATATAGATAAATAATATTAGTTCAACATACCCTGATCTTAGCGTTGATCTTCCACTGGAACGGTTTTAGTGAAATCGCAACCATCGAAACGTCTTTGTTTTGTGATTCCTTTGCCATAATTGCGTACTTTATACTTCGAAAAAAGAACATACTCCAAAAACAACGAAATAATATGCATAAAGCTGAAGCCCCTAAATAGTCGCTTAATCTAAACGGTCGGTTGCTAAATTGCCTTGGATCGTCATTAATCGCCAATCTCGTAATCCTTATTTCATAGCCAATATGTGAGCATGTGATCCAACACGAGTTCGAAAGTATTTTTTTTCACTGTGTCGGATTGCATCAAAAGTATTAACCTAATATTTAAATTTTATAAGCTAGTTATTTAAAAATATATATATTAATCACCAAACTCTTTGATTCATTCTCTTTCCATTGCAGGGCAGAACAACCGGTTTTGGCCACTGCCCCCTTTTTGGCCATTTAGTACTTCAAGGCGTTCTGACGCACAGGCACATATACCTATTACTTTATCGTGAATGGTTTTTAAAATGTTACGTTGTGGCAAAACTAATACCGTTGTTAACTGTGAGGAGTCATAAATTCGCGTCCGCGTTATAAAATGGACAAAACTAGGTCATAATCTTAAAATGGTCAAAAACTAGTCTTAGTCAAAAATTAAGGGTTAGTGCTGGAAAACGGACATTAGCTGTTTTTCGTTTTCTTACACGCCACGGGCAATTTCTCTTTGTACCGGGAAATTGTTTAATAACTTTGGTTGTTACATCCTAAAAATAGAAACGGTTGAATTATATTTTAATATAATATATAAATTTAATTACTCCCACTTGTTATGTGCGGGCGGGCGTACGAATTCGATAATATTTCGGGTGCTTCATACATTGTATCAACTAATATTTTTTTATTTTTAAATTAACCAACAATTTATTTACCAATAAACAAGAAAAAACTACGATAAAAAACTAAAAAACAAACGATGTATTGGGCTTGTGTTAATCTCAAATATATTCTGATTTATTCGAAATTTTATCTTAAACAGTCTCACGTTATTTGAAAAAAGTTTTCATTAGAAAACATTATAGCAACAAGCTTTTATATATTGGATAGATAGGTTCGATCATATCTAACATCTAACAGATAATATCCGTGGGTTCGATTATCACTTCAAAAAGAATATTTTAACTATTTAACGCATTAAAACAAAAGCCACTTTATATTTTTTTTAACAATAACTTTTAAATTCTAATAATTAAACAGTTTGTTCTTTGATTTCTTATGATTTTCTATGGATAATTCATACATATTATATAACTATTACATCCAACTTGTTTGTTAAACTTTTTTAAATAACTTTGTAGCGACTCCAAAATAACTATACCCTTGATAATAGCGATAAAGTGATTGGAGATATAAACCATTGTTTATCGTTTGAGTGACATAACGGAGGGATATCTGTGAGCTTGATGCAGCCATCTGATGTGAAACATGAGTGATCTATATAGGAGGCGTGCCTCGTATCGGATCGAGCATCTTCTACCAGTTCATCTATAGCAATATTAATATTATATAGAATAAAGTTTCTAAGGGGCAATCTTCGGTCGGAAATACTGACACTGAAATTTATATGTAAACTTTTCAACTGTTACCGTCAGCAACAAAATAGACTTTTATCTTTAATTAATAGGAGAATATTAGCTCGGTGGCTAGTGGATAAGCGGCGCGGCCCGCGATCGTTGTTGTTAAGCCACTTTCGCAAGGGTCGGGCGCGGGATGGGTGACCAAAATAAAAATATTATCTCGAGCTACTCCGTGCTTCGGAAGGCACATCAAGCCATTGGTCCTGGCTGCGTTTGTAGTTGTTAATACTGTCCAATCCGCAAAGGGCCTGCGTGGCGGGTTATGGCCCATCATTCTTAACCATCCATAAGGAAGGCCTGAGCCCCTGCTGTGGGAACGTAATAGGGGTGGTGATGAATAGAAAAAAGCAAAGAATCTAACTGAAATTGATAAACCAAAAAAAATTTGAACCGCCGTTCACGAGGTATTTTCATAAAGAAAGAAACTTATTGAAGTTTCATATAAACAGATGGAAATACAAGGATCATTGAAGACAACGTCTGAAACAATGATACCGAATAGTTATTTTAATAATTACTTTGATTGATGCCTTTAATGCCGGGGTGGGTCGGCGTTAACACGTTAAATTAACACTTGTATAACTTGAAAGGAGCAAATCTAAGCAATATCCATGATAATGTCACGTTTCTCGATTTGGTAGACGAACGGTCTAAGTCTAATAGAGATTCGCGGTTCCTCTAAGTATCTGATCCTTCCGCATTAGCCGATGAATAAAGCATGAGACTGAATTATAAGCAGTTACACAGAGAGGATTGAAACTGTCAGCCGTTTAGAAGAATACACATTATTTTATACTATCTTTAAATAAAAATACTCATTTACAAACAATAGGATATAGATCCAACATTTAACTATGCTCTATCACTAAAATTCTTGAGAAAAAGAAAGAATAGAAATGTATCAGATCTAAATTCTCATAATCGAAGTCTGAATACTTCCAAATTTTCCTTGAAAAAAAAACATTTTTTTTATGTGTAACCGATTACTTATCGATATAAGGATTCCATGTTCCATGCATACCTCTCGGTTTCATTGCACCTATCCATTACCTATGTCGTGATACGTGATCATTGTGTGAAGGACAATAAAAAAATAAGTAGAAGCCGAGTTCAGATGGCATTCCCGACTGTTGGGGTGCACCTAGTCAACCCGCAATATTCCACGCTCCATTTGAAGGACCTCACGTGCCACGAAGGAGGCAACCACGAAGTATTTCATGATAGCGCTATAGATTAAACGTCACTTTCGACGTAATTTGAGATACTTTGAGAGACTTCCAATATTAAATTTTAAAGAAAATAGAACCGTAAGATATTCGGTTGCACCCCAGCGGTGACCTTATTAACTTCCCGAAGGAATGCATTTTAGTGATTCACGCCTATTTGAGCGAAACAATCTTGTCAATTGCCTACTCTTCAGTTACGTCTCATTGCGACAAGTCTTTTTTTGTTTCATTTTAATACAATTTTTGACTGAGAGTTAACACGGCAATTGTGTCAAGGACGGGTGTTCCACAGGGCACCTACCTTGGCCCGAATCCTTTATTAAATTTATCAAAAGTAAAGTAATAAATGAAATTGTAACACAAATTTCATAATATTGATATGTAATACAGAATGTATGTATATGTTCGCATATATATATTAAACTTTTAGTACTCACTAAATTATATTAAATTACGAAAT